CAATCTATCAACACCGGTAACATCAAGTTCATCATAGGTCGGTTCCCAGAGATCGTCAACGGAAGCATCGTAGACGTAGCCGTTCTCCCACGAAAAAAGCGAGGAGAAAAGCTGTTCATCAAGCTGAAAGATTTGAGCACGAAACGAAGCCGAAAAATGATCCTGCTGATCGTGGATCTGAGGCTTCTGAAAGGTCATGTTGATGAGGACAACATACAAGCCGATGTGCTTCGAAAGATAGAAAAAGGGAGAGGAAGACTCCTGAACGGAAAATTGATTCTCATTCCGGATCAGTTTTATTTCGAACCCGGGGTGATTGCTTTATTCGAGTGCCTCCGGAATGCTGATAATTTATTAAATGGTTGAATTTTCTGGCTCTTTCAAAACCAAAGCTCTCTCAAAGCTCAAATTTCGCGATGATTTGGCCCTTTGTCCCTCTCGAGATTGTGGGGAAACTGTGAGGACTGTCGAGTCCTCCTGTATTTCGACTCTGTATTATATTCTGAACCAAATCACGTCGTCTATAAAAGGCATCACTTTTCCATGTTAATACATTCGGTTACAACGACGAAGCAGTAATCATTCATCTCCTAGGACGGTCACGACAATTGGCGACGAAGATGATCAGTGCCGAGGACTTTGAGGCTTTGTTCAAGCGCCTCATGAAAGAATGTCTGAAGCCGATACCCACTTCTTCCCACTCCGAGTCCTCCGTAATGAGTACACTGGTAAAGCAAATACCCAACTTCAAGTACGACTCTGAGGCAGGGCTGTCGTTCGAGCTCTGGTACACTCGATATGAGAGTGTCTTGGAGGTGGAAGGTGCCGCCTTGGATGATGCAGCGAAAGTCCGACTCATCATGCAGAAGCTGGATCAGGAGTGCTTCCAGAAATTCGATGCCCACATTCTTCCACGGAAATACTCAGAGATCACCTTCGAGTAATCAATCAAACTACTCAAGGACCTCTTTGGACACCGTGGTTCGGAATTTGCTAGAAGGTATCAATATCTGCAGACGAGATGTGAGAAAACCGATGAAGGAACCTACGACAACTACACCGGGCTGGTTAACCGCCGGCATGAACTGGCAGACATGACCAAGGTCACAGCTGATCAGATGAAATGCTTGGTGTGGATCTGCGGACTCAGAGGCTCCGAACACAATGATGTGAGAGAACTCGCCCTCCAATTCCTCGAAGAAAAACCCAAATCGACCCTTCGTGAGTTGCACCAGCATGTTAAGAATTTCACACGCCTACAGAGTACGTCGCGTTCTATTGCTAGCGGTGCTCGCAGTGAGGTCCATGCAGTCCTGGCAGGTCCATCGCCGAAGCCATGCCGTGGATGCGGAGCCATGCATTTCAGGGCTTCATGTCCCTTTCTGAAG